ACAAAAGAACCATGAATTGGTCCAGTCATACAGGTTAGAAATGAAGATCGAATTTTCTGAACTATGCCTTTTAAAGGCCATTTTGGCTTCTGGGATTGTTCTACTCTGCTGGTCACTGCTGACTTTGAGGATGATGTAATTGACAAATGTAAACCCACCCCTGCAGCTTTGGCACTATTTTCAGCTCCACAGCACTTCTTGTCTAAAACAACTTGGTTTTCATTATGACCCTCACATCCAGATGACCTTGCTGTGTGGGTCTCGGAGCGCAGGCGAAACATTTGGGTGTCCGATTACGTACACGTGGGTCGTCGACAAAAAGGAAGGAATGGGTCGGGATGTGATAATGGTGCATGTGAGCCATCTAATCCATTTAGACACTAATGGAATTCATGTTTATAGGCATCCTGTGTGAAGGAGATGGATGAGAGTGTTCACTTTACTGTCTCAAGTGTGGATTTACTAATAGCTCTGTTGGGACTACATAAGTTTGGCTTAATCTTTGTACAAAGTATAAAACAGAACTGCTAAAAGGAAAACCACATTCTTAGTTGTAACAGTAAGCACACACTCAGACACACACACATACAGCACATCAGAGACCATAAGTAAAAGAACAGGATATGGCTTTCTCTGCAGGTCTCGCAAAATCGCTAGCCTGACGTCCCGGTGTATTGTGTTTTCCAGTCTGGCTACCAAAATGTAACACTGCCCTGCCCGACGGGCTACCTTGTACAGTGATATAAAAATCCTTCCTTGATTTGCGTTGTTCACTCACTTGTAGGGGTGAAACGGATCATAGTTTATCATTTACACGTGTTTCTAAGTCTTACCAATTTAAACATTCAAGCGTTTTAAACCATGCGCATAAAGAATTCAGTCCGGTGCTCGCGCGCACACGCTCAAAGCGCGCACATACAGAGCGGCGTTTCAAGGAGAGCATGAACACAGATTCCTCTTTCACTTGAACGGACACATACACGCAAAATTATCTGAAAATAACTATCTCGGCAAGCATTTTCATGTCTTAAATGAACGTAAACAGTGGAGAAAGAAATCGCACGTGCATCATTATATTGGCTCTGTGCATTCGGTCTTGGGGCAGCAGCCTATAAAAATACCTGCTGTTTAATCACCACCTGCTGTCAGAGAGTGACATTTGCGTCTCATTCAGCCCGTCTGCTGTTTTTGTTTCGTTCAGATTTTTTATGTAGTATCACAAAGCTAAAGTCAGACCATTTTGTTTTTGTGTCAAATTTCAAAATATTACAATCTAAATAACATGTATGCAGCATCTATGTTCGGATCGTGATTAAAATACACAGGCAAAACCTTAGTTTACTTGCATGGAGACATTTCTTTTATTTGTATTGTTTATTTATTTGATTTGGGATTTGTTTTAACATTTCAAGTTAGTATATTGTAGGGATGTAACGGTATGAAAATTTCATATCACGATTATAGTGACCAAAGTTATCACGGTTATCAATATTATCACGGTTTTGTTCAAATTAGATGAAAACGTTCAAAAAGAACTGATACACACACTGAAAACATTTCAATAAGTTTTATATTTGAAAATCAACAAACAACAAACACAATTAGCAGCTATATGCACTTTTTTAGCATAAA